GGTAGTGTGTGTGTGTGTGTGTGTGTGTGTATATATATATATATATATATATATATATATATATATATATATATATATTGTAACAGCCAGTACAGTGCTTAAAACATTAAAAAAAATCTATGTAACAATAAATCACTAAAACAAATTCTTAAATCAAGAAATTATTGGCCAGAGGACCACTACTCCCTCAATTGAGGCTAGTTTCTCCCAGGTTTTTTTGTTTGTTTTTGTTTTTGGCTTGCTTAGTTGAGGTTTAAAAGACACTTAGTATTCAGTAATATTCATTTTACGGGACTGACACTATCGGGTGAAAACAAAACTAACTGAATTGAGCTGAATGATGACACTATAGAGCCGCTTTATTACTTAATCATCTTTGTTTTAAATTTGATGCATTTTGCAACGTCAACACTGTTATTGAACTGAATGGCATGAACATTGAACTTCTCGAGCTGAATAGCTATATAATTCTCTTGTGTAGAGCTGCTTATAGCTAAACTGAACTCGTATGATTTTTACGCAAATTAATGAACAACAACTGAACTGACTTGAGCTGAATAATAACACTTGTTAGAGCTGCTTTACAGCAGAATTTAAACTCGTCTTAAGTTTGTGTCATTGATTTCTGTTAATTTTCTGTTTATTACTGTGAAGCTGCTTGGAAACAATCTGTATTGTATAAAGTGCTAAAGGTGACTTGACTTGAAAAGGTAACAAAACAATGTCTTAGGGTTTGAGCATAGCTTCAGGAAGTGGAAGCGTCATGGAGCCACCCAAAGAAACGTTAAAACGGTTGGCCCTCAAATAATGAATGATGATCACTTTGATGAAAATCAAAGTGTACTGCACAAAACTGGCCAGTAAGGCTGCACAGGAAAAGCCAATAAGCAATTTTGATTTTGTAATCAGATGAAGCTAAAATGGAACATCTGAGCTTCTCACACCTTGTGTTCAGTGTTGACGTATGCTGCAGGTCTCTGCTATGGTGGTTAGCAGGGTCTGGATTCAAGTTACAAATTAATAAAAATATTTACACCGTAAAATGTGTAATTAAATGCAAGTTTATTGAAATTAATATTTTCAATGAGTGTTTAAAGGAACAGTTTGCCCAAAAAAGAAAATTTGCGGAAAATGTGCTCACCCTCATGCCAGCTGAGATATAGATGAGTTTGTTTCTTCATCGGAGCAGATTTGGAGAAATTTAGCATCACATCACTTGCTCACCAAAAGATCCTCTGAAGTGAATGGGTGCCGTGAGAATGAAGATGGATTTGTTTGTTTGTTTTTTACAAACATGCAGCTTTTCACTTAAATAAAATGTTAACTGATGGACTGGAATCATGTGGATTATTGTGATGTTTTTATCAGCTTTTTTTGGCTGACGGCATCCATTTACTGCAGAGGATCCACTGACTGGTGAACAAGTGATGTAATGCAATATTTCTCCATATCTCTTCCAAATAAAAAAAATATTTATTTAAGTCTTGGATGGCCTGAGGGTGAGTACATTTTCATTACATTTTTTAGGGTAAACTATTCCTTTAAGGTTGGTAATTATTCATGTAAAGAAGTGTCACAGAGAAAATATTATCTGATTTTATTATTAATTCAGTATTTTTAAATAATTGTAAGTAATTTAGATTAATTAAGATGCTACAATATATTACAATATAATGTCTAATTATTAGAAGATCTCAACTGTCATTAACCTATAGAGGGCGCACAAACGCTCCCATTTCCATTCAGATGAGGATTATGGAAGCATTTATCTTCATTATGCACATTATCACGGGTATTATTAACAAAACAAATAACCTGTCTCATCTTAAAAGATAAAAGATAGGGAATTACCCCATTTATGACAAGTGATCTAAAATATAGGATCTAAAATAATTTATATTTTCAATTTTTTTATGTAAAGCCTTTACAATCCTAAAACCCCTGACAAATATTTTTTTTCAATAACACTTCTGTTTCTCGTGTAATACTGATGTCAACAATTGTCACAGGCTCAAAGATGTTGGGACATGTTGACTAAATGATGGAGTTACCCTCAGGAAAGCTAAGTGGGTGGTCTCCCCAAGGGTTGGGCAGGGTAGCCCCCCCAGAGCAAACCTCAAATACTGCCTCAATCATTTCAGGATATTTACCACTCTTTAATGATCTTACACACACAAACAGGACAATCAAATTAAGGCCGAAACATATTTGTATTGACCATAAATAGACGGCAACTTATTTGGAGTATCTGTATCATGTCAAGTTAGAGTACTGTTGCAAACCTTCAAATAGCCTGCTGTGATAAAACAAAAGAGACGGTAACACAAAAGAAAACTTGATCAGAGTTTGACACTGTAGGGGAAACTAGGGAGAATTTTGTTTAAACATCGGTAAGGTAACTCACTGGATTTTTGCTCGATACCTATGTGAAAAAAAGTTATATAATAATTCAGTATCTGTCTGCCACAAAATAAAACTAATTTATCACTACACTCTGTACATGAATGTCAAATAGGCTACAAAGAGTGCAAACCTTCCAACTCCTTTACACTATACAGTAATTTTTTATAAACATGGACATTTTATAGGCCTAATTTATGCTGGAATTATCCAATTTAATTGTACAAAACAATTGTAGTTAAAGGCCTACCGTCATCCAACACCACTCTCATTTCACTTTTAACAATTTCATTCAAAATGGCAAAAAAAGAGAAAGAAACTTCAAAGCCTATACATTAAGGAGGGTGATGGTCAAGTAATGATTTCACACCATTCTTAAATGATGGTGTTACAACTAACAACTCCCTGGTCTCCCCTACATTCACTTCATGATCACTAGAGTTTAATTCAGAGATAATTCAGAGAAGGATTTAAATGACAAGGCACTGACAAAAACCACACACATAATGTGGTTAATTATATATGGCTTGCAGGGACAGTTTGTGTTAGAGCTGGATATTGGTTGGCTGGTTAAAAGAGAAAAGTACAAAGTAACTTTTTAAATCCATTCATCATGCCTTTACAGTTCCCGTAGGGGATTAAAAGGGGGTTCATAATCAGTCACTCGATGTTAAATGTATGGGAAAAGAGCTGGGCTCGGTCTTGATAAAATGATTTCTCAATGGCCCGGGAAGGCTCATTTACATAACAATTATGGGAACTGCATGGAACTACTTTTCGGTTGAACTGGATCATCGAAGGTCAGAAGCAAAGACATTGGTTAATAGAATGGGATTAAATACATAAAGGATATTTGTGTTGTTTAACATTTAATTATTGCAGGTTTGCGTCATTTTCTGAGTTGCATTATTTTTATTCATTTTGAGGAATACTGAATCTGTGTGTTTGTTTGTTTTTTGATGATGAATTAATGCATATATTTATTTTAGAACTACAGTAACATCTGATTTCTCTCAACATGGGGACAGGAGAGCTGTCAATCAATAAATTGAAAAAAAAAAGTAACTCAGATATTCTCTTGTAAATTAAAAAGTAATGCGTTACTTTACTAGTTACTTGAAAAAAGTAATCGGATTACGTAACTCGCGTTACTTGTAATGCGTTACCCCCAACACTGCTTCTGAATACATGGGCCCCGCACAGAAGAATATCGTGTAGCTTTAAAGGCTCTCGCTTAAGCCCCGCCCCTCTGAATCAGCGGTCACATGACTCATAAAGTTTGATGTCCTGCCCAAACTTTCAGAAGTTGAGAGAAGAAGGGGGGGGGGAAGTTAGTTAGGTTAGTGAGAGGGCTGTGATTTTCAATGCGCAGTACAGTCATTACCAATGTCTGCGTTAGAGGAGCCGTAAACTTTTGGGAAAGTCACCCGGACAGCGCATTTAAAGAGTTCAAATACTTCAGAAGAAGTTTAAACGATAAACTGTAGTAGATATGCGCGTTTCCACATTTATTGGGGTGTTCTCGGGAAGCAGAAAAACACATCGTTGCCTACTTTTTTTCGCAAGGCTTGGATAATTAATAAAGTGGACGGACAGAAAACGGCTTTGAGCTGTTTGGATTAATTTTTTCGGCGTTTTATGGTTGCAGGCAACTTTCCTGTTTACACCATTTCAGCCGGATAAAAAGAAGAGCTCAGTTTTATCTGGAGTCATGGATCCGAGCCAGCACAACCCTCCTGCCGGCCATCAGATCGTCCATGTTCGGGGAGACTCCGAGACCGATCTGGAGGCTCTTTTTAATGCTGTGATGAACCCGAAAAACGCCATCAGCCCCCCTTCCGTGCCGATGAGGATGAGAAAGCTGCCAGACTCCTTCTTCAAGCCGCCAGAGCCAAAGTCCCACTCCAGACAAGTAAGACCACCCCCACAGAAACCACAAAGTTTCCCTGCGCCTGACACTGTCTGCAACTGGCGCGCGGGGCCACTGCAGTTTCACGCGACTCTTCAGCCTGCAGCTCGATGCGTCAGTCTTCGCTGATTATAATGGAGCCGGAGCGTTTAGTGTGTCGTAGCGCTGCCAATGTAGATTTGTTATTGCATGAACAAAGAGCAGTAAGCACTGCATTTGGGGAAACAAACAATAAATAAATAAAGTGCATAATCGGACGTATGTCACCATATGACAGCGGAGTAGCCTATAAAGTAAAAATAATAATGACCATAATGTATAACAAATATAAAAACAAATAGAGTAGTCATAACACAAAAATCACAATGCCTTAGAAATGTGTTATTCTTAGCCAGTGTTAGACTAACTCCAATGCAGGCTATGAACTATTCCACTGGACAAATAGCTGAACTGAAAGGTTCTCGTTCAGAAAAGTAGCTAGTTTTCCTGCAACAAACACAAAACAAGTTTGTCTCTCTTATTCACCCCTAGCACTAGTTGAAGTGGAAAAAAGGGTACCATTGTGGCTGTATCATGCTAGTACGTGGGACTTTGTCATATCAATCTGTATTCGTCGTATTTTGATACTTAGTGGGTTCAAATGTCTTGACCGACAGTACAAGTCATTCACTTGCTGCATGCAAGTCTCTCTCAAAAGATCAGATTTATTTCCATGTTTGTTTTCAGTTTATGACAGGTCGCCGTAGCCTAAACATTACACTTCATCCAGCGCTCTTTGTTCTGCCTTATACAAAACATTCTGTAACTTTTTTACGGAGATTTAGTTAGTTCATGAGTGTGCTATTGGAATGATTCAGACTGAATCGTTTGCATATCCGTTTATACAGTTCATTGAGAAGAACCGACTCAAAAGAGTGATTCATTTGTGATTCGGGCAGCGCTAGTGGTGATTCTAAACAGCCGACGGAAAACACAGACCCTACGACTTCATTCCTCAAATATGCTTTTCAGTGTTCTGTTCATTGCGATTACATCACTGACCTTTACTTTGAATGCTTTATCTTTCGATGAAACGTTCTGCCTAATGTACACTTGGACTTTGCAATTTATATAAGAATGGCGATACGTAGACGTCCGTTTTATAAACCATAGGTGTATAGTCTTTAGTTTCTAGCTCTTGTTCCATGAGTTAAGATACATAAAATAGGTAAGCTATTTTTTAAAGCTTAATTGGAATATTAATAATATCGTTATAATAGTTATCAACAAAAGTAATCGACTTTCCTCGGTTTTGGAATCACATCTCGCGCATGCGCACAGTGTTGCCAACTGATTCTCAGGCGAGGTTGCTAAAGGAAGAGTGATTTGTTGCTAAATGATGCGATGTCATTGCGCGGTGACGTCATTGCGTAATCACGATGCAAAATTGTGTCACTGCATCAAGTCTCAGCAAAAAAAAAATTTTGTAAATATGTTCATTTTGATGCGTTTATAAAATAATATAATATTAAAATGTAAATAACTCATTTTAAATACAACATTGAATTATTTAGCACATTTTTTAACAATTACAATTTAAGTTTATTTTTATTAGCTAGTAAACTAGTGAAACTACTCATTCTGAACAGTTATAGATTTAAGCAGTGTATTAGTAGTTCGTATGCTACGCTCTAAGAAAAGTCTGTAAAAATGGGGCAAAATCTATTAATATGAAGAAATTTTCCATAATTATTATTCACACGTTTTTTTACCTACATTTTAAATTACGCATTGTATTTTGTGTTTTCGGGTTATGGATAATGTCCTGGAAAATTACTACATTTTTCATTTTTCTAGATATTTTTCTTGATCAACTGATCAACAATCTCAAGTACAAGCTACTAACAAGGTGTATCATAAATGAACAATTATTAAATTATTATTATTATTATTATTAAATTAAACAATTGCTAATAGCAGCCAACTTAATTCATGTGAATTGTGTACTGCTAGGCACCTTTGGTTTCCTCTTTTTGTGTAATTTAGATGGAAAATGTGTGCCTTTTTTATCGTTTGAGTCACTTATCAAAATTTGCTAAATGTTGCCAAATACATTTTTAAAAATAGCTAAATTTGTTGCTAGGTGCTTTTGGAAGAAAAAGTTGCTAGGGTAGTCTGAAAAGTTGCTAAATCTAGCAACAAAATTGCTAAGTTGGCAACACTGCATACGCATGTGTTGAGTTCGGCTGAGAAGTTGCCCCAGGACAGCCTGTTTCCTACTTGGCTCCTCCTAAAGTCTGCAGCGTAGGCCGCATCCGTTTCTTAAGTTTTTGTTATTGTAAAATGAGCTGATAAAACTAATGAAAGCAACACTAAGCTATGATTCAAGAGGATAACAGTGCCCTTGTGTAAATTTAATCAGTTTTATGTTTCCATTTTTTGGAGGGTTTTTTTTGGGAAATACTTTGTTATTATTATCCTAGTTCATATGCACTTTGACTTTCCCTTTATTGACTAGAAAGGAAATGAATAATTTCCCATACTTCACAAACCCTCCAAAGTTCACATACTTTAAAAATGATTTTAAAGCATTTTATTTAAATAACTTAACAATTAAAATGAAAAATCTGTTCATGTTTCTTACTCTAGATAAAAACATTGCTTAATTTCACTGCAGCAAACAAAACAGATTGTTTTCCTCATGTTTTCTTTTAAAAAGTTATAAGCTAGAGTAATTAAAGTTACAAAGAATGGTTTACGATAACAAATTTTAGATGTGGCGGACTTGTGGCATCAAGAAAACATTTGTTACATATGAAAAGAAAGAAAACAAAAAGCATAAGAAACCATGCTTTAACAATTATTGTAATTATTAGTCATTGTGAAATTAATCATGACTAATTTATTTATTCATGCATTGTAACCCTAGTTTCTGTTATCATTTCAGCAGAAGTACAAGAGGAAAACTTATTAAAAATATTTAGTATATGACCTTCACAATGGGGCATCTTTGAGTTACGTAGGTTGAGAATCATTGCTATTTTATATATATATATATATATATATATATATATATATATATATATATATGTGTGTGTACACATGTTCTTTGTGTTGTAAATGCGACTTCATCAGTGTTTTGAATTATTAAGGTTTAGACATGAGTCTCTTTGCTATTTAAGAGACTTATTGCTTGTAGCCTTTTTGCTTTAAATCTAATCCTAATCTAAATGTCTTCTTTATGCTAAAATAATCCTCTATCCCTATACAGGCCAGCACGGATGCAGGTACTGCTGGCACCCTCACGCCCCAGCACATCAGAGCACACTCCTCACCCGCCTCCCTGCAGCTGGGTGCAGTTTCTCCTGGCACCCTGAGCAGCATGGTTCCAGCAAACCCCCAGCCTCAGCACCTCCGCCAGTCTTCTTACGAAATACCTGATGATGTGCCGCTGCCCCCAGGCTGGGAGATGGCCAAGACCCCTTCGGGCCAGAGATACTTCCTAAAGTGAGTTGTTAATGTTGTCATGCTTGATATGATGTTTATGTCAACTTGGTTTGGTGCTGTTTTATGTCTTTTAAATTGATAAGGCATTGTTGACCTTCAGATTGGGGTCGAGTTTGCAGTGCTCCCAGTCATATTAAAGATGGAAGACTTGTTACATGTAAAGATTTACAACAAAGGTGAATTTTACTGGACAGAAAGACTTGCAATGCTGCTTTGAAGTCGTGATGTTTCAAATACTGTTTCCGGGTCTAAGCCTCCACTCTGTTTCAGATGAGAATACTATTTCAACAGCCATTTATGAGCACAATTTATTAATATCATACATTTAAACTAAGCTTTATAGAAACGACAGTATTCTGGCTCATGCCGTCCTGGATATATTTTAACGATTCATAAAAAAATGTATCACTGTCTGACATTTCAATAACTGAAACGCCTTTAAAGATAAAGTTTAGAATCATGATTTTTCAGCAGTGTTACAAGACACTGTGAGTATATATTAGCACCATTTGTTGTTTCCTTTTGAGATTTAATAGAGCTTTTGGACCCAAAAACGGTGGTGTGTGACATCAGACTTGCAAGCTGATAGTTACATTAAGAAAGTGACTTTGGTTTTTTTATTTTAAATGTGTAGATGAAAGCTAATTTTTAATCAAAACTCCCAATAATTTTTTCCAGCTGGTTTATATATCCTAGTCTTTATATCCTAGTGTATTAGCTTGTGTGCCAAAGTTTCCTTCTCTGTGTGTGTGTGTGTGGGGGGGGGGTACTTAGTCCTTCTGCGGATTGGGTTTCAGAGGGGAACAAAGGCCCAGTGTAGCAGCGTAGAACGTGTGGAGGACAGGCTGGCCTGGTAAACTCATCTGCCTGGCCACAGAAGCCTGTCCACAGGACACAAGAGGAGTTAAAAGGGCAGATTTAAGGAGTACATTGTGTCTTTTTGATATGTCCCATTCAAGTTGTCATTATTTATTTAATAGCTGCTATATTAAGACCGAATTAGGATTGAATTTTTGAATCGCAAAGTTTTGGGGTGTCTGGAACTGTGACCCTCTGACCAATCGCTTCTAGACAAACATGATTAGCCTCCAATTTACTATGATAAAATGGAGAACTTTTAAAATCAGATGTTTAGAAGAGGAACATCTGCTTCATTTGGACCAGATCTCCAGGAATTGTGCAAAAGGGGGTTGAGGGACAGGAAGGGGAAAACGCCATTTGTGTAGACAGCTCACAAGACCAAGGCTAATGTTTTGGAAATGTCACACAACTGCTAATGCGTCCAACAATGAGGACACCTAATCCTTAAGAAACGGCTCCAAATTTAGTCTGGTAGTTCTCATTCTTCTTAAACGAAAAAATGAAGTAAGTTTTAAGCAAACATTGAGACGTGTTCACTGCTACCTTTTTGAGTGCTGTGTGTGTCACCGTTTGATCTTCACCCTGTCTCGGTCACTGCTGAAATGCACAAATGAACACTTCCCCTTCTTTTTAACTCCCCTTTGTTTGGGGTTTTAGAGAAATGCATAGGGATGCACCGATATGAAAATTTTGGCCGATACCGATAACCGATTATTCTTTACTTTTGAAAGCCGATAACCGATATGTTGGCCGATAAATCTATATCCAAATTGTTAGATACTTTTTGAGAGCCTGATTACAAAAAAAGGTCTCATCATTAAAAGCCACATCCCAAACACTTCAACATAAGCAGCCTAGTTTGAACGGTGTACGTTTTAAAAATATTTTTACTCTCCCATTACCAAATTTAGTCATAAAAAAGTCTTACAAATAAATAAAATTATGCATAAATAATGCAAACAAGTCACTGGACATCATTACACGTGTAAAGAATCAAAATGAATGCGCCACAGATCAATAAAACGGAATAGCCTCTGCACGGACAATAATTAAATGATTTTAATTACTAAACCATATTGTTGATGAAAATAATAAGAGAAAAATACAAGTGGTTGTTGTTATTAATAATATATCAATGATTGTGAAAAAGTAACAAATTAATGCCACTGTTTTAAATAGCAGCCATTGAGCTGCAGCTCAAGCTGAAGCTGAAGAGCTGAATGAACACGGTAAACTGAAGCGTTTTGCTGGCAGCTTATTTAACTCAAGGAAATGCATCCTGAGATTAATATTAATACAACATAAACATAATATTACAACTTATATATGTACAAAATGACGCAGTTATTGCATGCTATAGTCAGAATGTGTGATCCTGTTGTGGATGCGCTCTTCCCATAACAACGCGCTGAAACACAGCAACTAAACCCAAAGAATGCACAACGTTTTATTATAATAATGTTCTCATTAGAATGTTATATACACAACATTCCCAATCATAGTTATTAATGTTGTGCACTGCTGTTTGAGCTGCGTGTGCTGAGCTAAAGATGATCACCGGTAAACTGAAGCGCTCTTTTTAACTTAACCAAACGCATTCTATATGAGATAAATCAGATATACATCAAATAAACACAATATTACAATGTACAATTGCACAAAAGGCTGCAAACGAACAGCGCGCATCTGAAGTGTCTCTGAAGGAAATAATGCATTATTTATCGGCTTTAAGATATCGGCCAAATTTTCTTATCAGGCCGATACCGATAACAGAAAAAATGAGCCGATATGGGCCGATACCGATATGGTGGCCGATATATCGTGCATCCCTAGAAATGCAGGCTCATTTTATTCAGCGTCTTGTTGTTGATCCTCGCTTTGTTTGTGGATAACTTTCCCACAGGAAGTTGGCATGGCTTGTCAACGATTCCTCATTTTTGTAGTGAGCATATCTCCGTCACCCCCTATCAAATTCAAGGAGCTGAAAAAAAGAGTCAGATGTCATTGAGCATCTTGTGGCTTGTTTCTAAGACAGTGTGTCAACTAATAGTCCAATTTAAAATGTCTCAAGACCCATGTGTTTTGCTCTATTGCTGTGCACATCTTATGTAAACTCCTAAGAACATGTCTGATTCAGGGCAAGTGAATCTGAAACATATTTTTGAGTGTTATGAGTATTGTTTCTAGGACAGTGTGTCAGGTTAAAAATAGTTAAAATGTGTCTCACTGGGGTGGGAATGTTTGATTCCATTGGTATGTACATGTAAACTCCTGTCAGGTTCTTGTCAAGTGAATCTGAAAACTGTTTTTAAGCATCATGAGCATTGTTTCTAAGACCGTTTGTCAAGTTAGAAATTGTCCGACTTAAAAATGTGTCATTTTGTTCCAATGCTTTGTATATCTTATGCAAACTTTTAAGAACGAGTCTGATTCAGGTCAGATGAATCTGAAACCAGTCTAATTATACAGTGCTTCTTTTAGACCATCTAGTTGTGGTTTGCGGTTCCCCATTACATTGTCAAGTGTTGACAGCTTGTTAACCATTGTTATTCTGGTATGGTATAGATTAAAGGGATAGTTCACACAAAAATAAAAATTCTGTCATTTACTCACCCCCCACTTGTTCCAAACCTGTACGAGTTTCTTTCGTCTGTTGAACACAAAAGAAGATATTTTGAAGAATGTTGGTAATCAAACAGTTGACGGTAGCCATTGACTTTCATAGTATTTTTTTTCCCATACTGTTGAAGTCAGTGGCTACCGTCAATTGGTAAATACAGATTCATTTACCAGGTGCATGAAATGTTGAATAATTCTGATTCTTTGTAACTCCCATTGCATATTTAAGTGTAGTTTGAATCTAGAAACACTGAAGGCTTCAGGAAGCTTGTCCTAGAAAACAAACACACTCCTATTTATAATCAGGCCTTCTTCAGATGAGGGGTGGTGAGAGGGCTGTGAGCCAACCTGTCTGAAACTGTAACAAGCTCACATTACTTTCAGGTGACCACTACTGTTCCGATGGCTCTTGTGGTTGGCCACATGTAAGTCACACAGCTAAGGGAAGTCTGACAAGCAGCCTGGTTTCCGTTTCGGCGTGAATGAAAGTGCAGTTTGTGAATCCGCTCAGTAGAGCTAAAGCAGGCAGAGAAAGCATGAGAGGTTTGCTTTATTTATCCAGTGACACTCATGTGACCTGGTCAGATATAGACAAACAAACAAGACTGAGAGACTCTGAACACACAGTAAAAGATCTATTGCATTAAACCTAGTTAGATTTTTAGCCATGAATGGTTACACTGTAACCTTTTTGCCCTATATTTAGTTCAGCCTTTGCTCAGACCTCAGTGGTGTCCTGTGACACTTTGATAGCGGGATGAAAATGACAGGAAACACAAAGCTATCAGAAGTCATAATCAACCTGCAACACCCAGTCATTTGAAGACGCTTCAAAAGTCCGGGATTATAGGGAGCGAGTTCTGTGGTGCTTTCAGATGTTAGTTGTGAATCTTCCTGAGAATCCAACACAGTAATACTATAATATCTTCTGGAAAATAAGTTGCGTGTGACTAAGTTGGGTCAAAATTACATTGAGAGAGAGATGGAGAAAAAAACAGATAATTGGGTGAATGTCACATTTTTTTATTACATTAAGAATTAATGTAAAATATGGATAGCCAAAATGAAACCTTTTATGAACATTATAAGCATTTAGTTTAGTTCACCTTATTCCACAACAAGTCCTTTAATGGGATTTAGAACAGAATAGGAATGAAAAATATAAGTATAAAACAAACTTCTCAGCTTAACAGACAAAATTATGACATTCATTATAAACGGTATGTCGAAACAAATGTATTTAAGGGGATCTAAATCCATTATTTACATTTTATGAATCTGCTAAATACAGATTTATTTAGCAGCGCAAATTGTTGAATTCATGTGATTCTTTGCAACTCTTATTGCACATTGAGTGTGTAGATTGAATCTAGAATTACTGGAGGTTAAAACAAATTAACCTAATAAGCCTTTTTTTTACTTCCTAGGTCTCTGTCCCCTGTTTTTCCCCCTTGTCTTCCTGCTTGCATTATTAACCCCATGGAAGACAGAAGTGGGAAAGGTCAACATGATGTGTTGAC